TAGGGATACTGGAAAAGAAAACGGATGTCACATCTTCACTGTTGTTTAGATTTGGCCCCTCTAGTTTACGAAGGTGCCATGCATGTCGGGGACCGCTTGACGTCGTCGGGCATCATGGAGTTCCGCAACTGCAGCGCAGAGGATGAAGGCTTGGTTGATTTTGCCCTCTTTGGGTTGAGTTGTTCCAGTCGCCAAGTTGGAAACTGACATGATGCCTTGCCAGCCCCCTAGGCGGCGCAATCATTGTGGGTGCAGTCCTCGCAGAAAGAGCTGGGCGCATGAGATTCAGTTCATGTACGGCCAGTCGTGCAGGTTTTCCCGCAGGAATAAGCTTGGTTTGCGCATTGGAGCCAGTCTCATTTTGTGCTCAGCAGCTGTCAAGCAGTCTGGATCTTGTGCTTGCCCAAGAGGTGCAATGCGGGCTGGATCTATTACATCATGGGGAATCATGGAGTTCCAAGACTGCCATGCGGAAAAGGGTTCAGGTCAGATTTATACAACATGTTGGCTGCGTCTTGAGTTTGGTCTTAATGTGTTTTCGTGATTTGTGCGTGTTTGTGCACAGTGCAGGTGGCGGAGCAGTTGTCGTTGTAGACTTCGTCCAAGAGGCTGGCAGCCTGAACTTCGAGTCTTGCACCGCAGCAGTTGCCGGAGGCCTGCAAAAGAGTGCTGTCATGCAGTAGTCATTTGATGCGCGAACAAGCTATTTGGCAAGGTGCCGTGAAGGTTGACGGCGACCTGGTTTCCCGGGGCCGAATCAACATCAGCAAGTGCCATGCAAGAGCAGGATCTTCGTCCAAGTTTGTGCTTTGTTGGTTGAGGCAAGTAATCCAGTTGCTTCCGGTGGGTATTTTTTTGCAAGGCCGTGTGCTGGACGTCTGGGGTGACGTCGGCGTCCCTCGCTTTCCGAAAAACTGCGGCAATGGCATCCTGGACCTCGATGGAGTTCTTCTCGTGGAAGAGCAGACAACAATCCAAGGGAGTTGCAAGGTTCGAGCTGCAAATGCAACGGTGCTGCTCGAAGCTCCACTGGCTTTTGAAGGACATCTCATTCTTGCAAAACTGGAAGTCGATCCTGTGAAGTCAAATTCAATGCAACCTGAGTGCTGCTGACAGGAACCGATACGGTCGTCCTTCTTGGCATGCTAACTTTCGATGGGCCAGCCAACTTGCAACAAGCTTGTGTCACAGTTCGGAGCAGCCTCCAAATTGGTGGTGATGATTTGGATGATGACGCGCACATCATCTTTGTAAATTGCCATAACCAGGTGCGCAGCAGCAATAGAAGACTCCTTGACTTGTTGCTGCTTGGTTTTTCAACGCGATTTCGACCTTGAGCCTCTTGAGTAAAACCCTAAGTGGCAGGGGCACAAGTCCTTCGGTGGTGGGCTCTATGTCGGAGAGGACCTCACCATGGTATCGGGCTCCTTAGAGATAGAGCACAGCAGTAGCTTCAAAGGCGGGCCTGTGTCTCATAGTCAGTGAAGTATGCCCTGCGCTCCTATGCACGCCAGGCGGTGGCGGGCTTTACATTCGCAAGGGAAACTTGCATCAAGATGGTGGTATCATCAAACTGCAGTACGTCTACTCAAACCGCTCCGGTGGGGGCCTTCTGATCGAACGTGGTGGGCTTTTTCAGGCCAAGGGCGAGATCAGCTGCGAGCAATGCAGAGCCGAACGTGGCGGCTGCCTGGCCCTCAATGGCACGGAAAGCCCTGGCTTGCACTCCAATGGATCCATCCGAGCAGAAAGCTGTGTGGTGCAGTCAGGTCCGAATGTCTATGAGTGCAATAATCATGCTGTGTTCTTGAGACCACTTCTGTAACTTGTTTGCAGGAGGTGGTGCAATCTATATCCATGATGGAGATTTGATATCATCTGGCCAGATGAACTTCAGCCATTGCCGTGCGGAGACAGGTCCAGGCGTGCACACATCTGACGTACTCTTACGAGCATTATCATTTGGAATATTTCTACAACACTATTGTTATTATTCGTAGTATTAATAAGACTACGATTACTATTGTTATTACTTTTACTGTTTCTATTTTCACTGATTCTAAATCAACCTTGAGTGAGTGTCAATTTCTTGCTGATGAGACGTGAGGTGGTGCAGCCTGGGTGAGAGGTAACTTCTCTCAAAGCGATGGCTGCATCGCCTTCGAGTCATGCAGCGCGCATAGTTCAGGCCGGGTGTGTTTGAGGATGAAAAGAACCAGTGCTGATGGGTCGAAACCATGCGAATTACCCTGACAAGTCGTTCCATGCATGGAACACACAGCAACTTATATGGCTGACAGGCTTGTTAACTCCTTGTTCAGATGTCGACTAGTGAAGGGGAGGTTTTGGCGCACGTGGCGTGGGTTGCTTCTTGCGCATGTCACTTCGTCTTGTTGCCATGCTCTACTCTGCCTGGGTACTTGGACAACTCATCACGAAGCCAACTAGCTCAGGTGGCGGGGCGGTGGTAGTTGGCACCGTCAAGCAAAAGAAGGGGAAGCTTTCCTGCCAAGCCTGCCGCAGCAGTGATGGAGGTTGTCTGCGCGTCGGTCGCGGGTTCGAGCAAAGGCAGGCTGGTTATGCCGAGTTCAAGGTTTGCAGTGCAGCCGGCGCTGGAGGCGCCCTGAGCGTCGAGGAGGGCGTCGCTTTGGGCGGTTCCAGCATTTTTGAGGACTGTACCTCCAAAGGCAGTCCCAACAATCCGCCTCAAACCAATTCTCCACAAGGCAGGGTGGCGTGACTGTTTGCTGGGTCTGTGGATGTCTGCATGTGCGTGTAGCTTTAGCTGACAAATGACAGGCCCACCCGGAGGCTGCCTGTACGCGAAGGGTGATGCGGATCTCCAGGGCACCATCAAATTCATTCGATGTGCTGCTGCTGGTGACGGCGGTGCTGTAGCAGCGCGCAGCGTGGTGAGCAGTGCGCATGCAACGTTTCACAGCTGCAAAGCGAATGGGCCAGGCGGCTTGAAGTTTCGTTTCAGCGCTTCAATTTTCAGCTACGGGAGAGACAGGGTAGCCTTGCTAGAGAGAAACCGAAACCTATCATGGCCAGGTGGTGCAGTCAGAACCAATTCGAGTTTTCTGCTGCAAGGGGGCGCGCTCACCTTCCATGCCTGCTTCAGCCAGGCCAGTGGTGGTGGAGTATCGGTTGGTGGCAACTTCACTCAGCAAGGTGGTCTTCTCGAATTGGTCATGTGCTCAGCGGTGCGCGATGGAGGTGGGCTAGAAGTCTCCGAGGGCATCAGCCTCAACGGCATCAGCAGCTTTCGAGTGTGCACTGCTGGAGGCTGGGCCCCGGCCACACGGGCCTGCTTAGGGTGTATCGCGCATTGCTGCCCATGGGCCCCTCACTGTCCCTTTCGGATTCTGTCTTTCCCTCTGTCGTATTGATTCCTTTCAAGCAACGTAGGCCTTAGCATCAGCTCTGTACATGTCACCTTCATTTGACGCCCTGGTTCCACAGGGAACAACTATGAGGGCTACGGTGGCTGCGTGCACGCCCATGGCAGCCTGCTTTTCGCTACCCACTCAAATGCCACCTTCATCGGATGTGAAGCCTTCGGTGGCGGCGGTGGCGTTTCAGTGGGCAGCGTTCTGAGCCATGGAAAGTCGGAGTTTCGGGAGTGCCTGGCGCACGGTGATCGTGGTGGTGGAGGCATTTTCTAGCGAACTAGGGTTGGGACCAGGTACTAGTTGGATACTGTTGAGTTGGTGTGCTTTCATGCTTGCAGGCATTCTCCTCACATCTGGCAGTTTGGAGCAAGCAGATGGACACAGTGCAGTCCGATCATGCAGAGCCTTGTGTGGTCCGGGAGGTGGCCTGCACATAGAAAATGGCTCGCTGAAACAAACAGCTGGCAGTTTGACCGTAGAGGAATGCGACGCTGGCGCCTATGGTGGAGGATTGGTTGTGGCGCAGGATGCTTCAGTGGAGACGAACTTGAGCATCAAGGATTGTAGAGCAGTTCGCGAAGGCCTCCGTGCATTTGTTCTGTGGCTTTTTGGCATGCGACGAAAACACACATCCTGTTGCATAGTCCGGTGATGCTGAAGTGGGAGCACTTATCCCAGAAGCCACCAAAGCAGGAAGCAAGCAATCCACGAACACTTTGATAGCTTGATGGCGGCTCGTAGTCGCACCTTTAAGCAATTGTGCTGGAAATGAGAGGCTACGGTATTTCCAAAAAAACAAGTGTCATTAATACAAGAAAAGAGGTACCATTAACAACTGCGAAACATACCACAAAACATGCCCCGACACATATCCGAATCAGACACCGCCCCCGCTCACTTTCCGTTTGTCAATCAAACGCTGATTTCAAGCGCTGGCACGCATCCGCCTTGGCCGTTTAGCGGGCCAGCTTGTGGGGTGTTTGCCTTCTTACCACTCAGTACGATGCTCTCCAGTTCAAGAGGTCTAAACTTGGTGCATTAATGAAAAGCACTAGCTGGTACGACAGGTTTCCAGCTGGATAGTGTTTTGCCGCTTTTGCAACACGCCGATGCGTTGCATTGTTACATTTCCCACTTTTGCAAGCCTGCCAAAGGTGGATTTGGGGGAGGCTTCGTGGGGGGCATTAGCAGGAACAGGCATTGCCGCAAGCCCAACAGCTTAAGAGCGAGCTTTCAGATCCCTTCCCAGAGAGCGGGTGGAGGACAGATTGGAGGCCGAGGCCAACACATCTCCCTTTGTATCCAAGAATTTGGAGGTTTTGAAGTGTTTTCTGTTGAGGCTCTGGTTCCTACGGGTTGTCCAGAGGTCAAGGAAGATTGATGTTCCGGCAAGCTTGAGGTAATGGTTTCTGGCGGCTACCAGGTCTTTGAAGGCAGGTGGGATCTTGAGGTTGACCGTCGACTCCTCGGATAGCAAAGGATTCAGGCCCCGCGGCCAAAAAGTTGGGATACAGTGCACCACCTTCTGCAAAGAGGATGACAGGTCGGATTCTCCGAAATCCAGGGTCAGAGCCTCATGACGTTTCAGACTATCACTGGGCCTTCAAACGCCGGAATAAAGTGGACAGCGAACGTTCTGTTTTCCTCAAAGCTTGTTGTGCATTTGCAGTAGGAGTCAGAGACAGGTACAGTCTCGAAAGAATCCACAAAGTGC